CTCCTGTATTGGCATCGTCCCATGGGCTTGGCTCCACTCCTGACCGCTCCAATGGTTCCTGCTTCCCTACCAACGAACAGGACCCAGCCACTCATCCATCAAGATCCCACTCCCGCCACAAATCTGGAGATCTCTCAGTTGGTGGCGTTCCTCCTCAATCTGGAAGGGACTGCTGTTCAGGGTCCCAGACAAGCTAGTGATAACCACCGATGCCAGCCTCCTGGGTTGGGGTTCCCATATGCAGGGCCAGATAGCTCAGGGCGTTTGGTCAAGGTCAGAGCAGACCCTTCCCATAAATTGGCTAGAGCTCAGAGCCATTTTTCTGGCTCTCAAGCATTTCAGGCACTCTGTGACCGGCTCTCATGTTCTAAGACCTTTCCCTCAGATTCGGAACACCGGAGGCAGATCTCTTCTCCACTCCTCAAAACGCCCAAGTCACCAGATTATTCACCAAATTTCCATGCCAGGGAGCGGAGGGGACCAATGCTCTTGGGCAGATGGCCCAAAGGTCTCCTCTACGCCTTTCCCCCGCTTCCCATCATTCCGGCAGTAATTCGGAAGATGTTGGAGGAACGAGCGGAGTTCCTCCTCCTGGCACCCTATTGGCCAAGGAGGCCCTGGTTTGCGGACCTGGTCAACCTATCTGTGGCTTCTCCTTGGAGGATCCTAGCCCATCTAATCTCCCTTCATCAGGGGGCTCTGCTCCACCCAGAGCACCAGTGGCTCAAACTGACCATGTGGCACTTGAGTGGCAGCTGCTAGAGGAGGCTGATCTTCCAGAAAGGGTCATCCTCACTATCCCGGCATCTCGCAAACCTTCTACAAGGCACATCTATGATGCCCCCTGGAAGGCCTTTTCCCGATGGTGCCTTAGGGAGTGTCTCTCTCCTGCTTCAGCCCAGTTGGCAGAAGTTCTTAGATTCCTTCAACATGGTCTGGAGAAAGGTTTGGCCCCCATCACCTTACGCAGGCAGGTTGCGGCCCTCTCCTCGGTTCTTTCATGGGGTTTGCTTCCTTCCTTATCCCATCACCCTTCAGTCAGGAGGTTTTCGAAAAGGGCTTCCAACCTGCACCCACTGGTGGTTCACAGGTATCCTTCCTGGGACCTTCATGTGGTCCTTAATGCCCTTACGAAGCCCCACCTTTGAACCCCTTAGAACAGTGTCTCTCCATTTCCTGACTCTGAAGGTAGTGTTCCTCGTTTCCATCATTTCAGCCAGGTGGGTTTCCGAGCTCACTGCTCTTTCCATCAGACAGGACCTTTGTTCCTGTCACGATGATAGGGTTGTTCTCCGTCTGGATCCCTCATTTATTCCGAAGGTTAACACCTGGTTTCTGCCCCGTCCCTCATCATGACTTAGAGCGGCAGTGGCACACACTAGACGTAAGAAGGGCTCTTAGAATATACATTAAGCACACTTCCTCCTTCAGGAAGTCGGAAGCCATGTTTGTTTCCTTTTTCCCTTCTCACTTGGGGCACAAGGCCTCTTCTCCTACTATTAGCAGGTGGGGCAGGTCTTGCATTGAGCAGGCCTACAAAGCTGTGGCCCTTCCGGTTCCCCGAGGTCTGACGGCGCACTCTACCAGAAGCGCAGCCACTTCTGCTGCCTGGGCAACCCAAGCATCCTTGAAGGAGATCTGTTGTGCGGCCACGTGGACATCCCCATCTCCTTTCATCAGACACTACCGTCTGGATGCCTTTGCCTTGGTGACTGCAGTCTTTGGCAGACGGGTACTTCAACAAGTGATTCAACAGTCGGTGTGATGAGCCGGATGAGGACCCGCCCGTGGACATGCAATCTTTGGTATATCCCATCCTGGGCTTTCGATGCAGCATGGAGGAGAATGGGCATTGGTAGAAGTTACCATGAACGCCCTTTCTATCTATGCTGCAAGAGAGCCCAGCCCCTCCCTTGATTCGTCCGGAGAGGGTAAGACATATTTCTGCATTCATTTTGTGCTTTCAGAGACACTTTTCAGTCTGTCAAGTATCTTTGCCAAAGCTGGGGTCTCTCCTGAGGGCTGGCTTTTATATCTTAGTACAGACTCAGCTAAATGACATCATAGGAAGGAGTCAACCCATCCTGAGCTCTCTTGCAGCATAGATAGAAAGGGCGTTCATGGTAACTTCTACCAACGCCCATTTTGGCAGGTGAGTATTGACAATGGCAATATTGCCGCATCTGTTTGTTTTCATCCCTTAAGCTAATTATTGTGCAATACTATGTTTTTGTGTAGGTGCTTCATAGTTTGTAGTTTATGGATAATTATGCTACAAAGGTTTTTTTCTTGTCTGGATAAAATTGTGTGTCTGTGCCTCATAAAGGCTTCTAATTTGCTTGTAGCAGCAATTTATTGTTCATAAACCTTGAAAGTCCCATTCTCTCTATTTTTTTAACATTAATACTTGAGAAGAGCAGGAAAGTTTTACCGGCATACTGTTCAACAAGAAGGCAGTTAAGAATTGTATCTGGCAAATTTGTCACAATTGAAATGCAAGTAAGGAGAAAAAAATAAAACATTATTGCATTAATATAATTTCCAGATGCATTCAATTCTGGAAAATTGCCATCACAAGTGGTCTTAAATAACAACTTCTAAACTGGAGAAAAATAAATAAAAGTTAGAGGTCAGGAACAGTAACTGATTTCTTAAAATGACAACTATTTATCTTACCTCAATCACAACATTTTATAAGGTTCAGACATTTTATAAGGTTTTTTAAATCAATTTGTGATCCCTTGCTTCTCTTTTTTCCTTTTTTATGTATTCTACATGCCCCTTCCCCCAAATCCTGTTATACATGGGGAAAAAAGAAGGATTGGCTGTCATAGCTATTTGATCATAGGATTAGGAGACTTCCCTCTGGGAGAAACCAGGAAAAATGTTTATCTAATAGTATGTTGAAAAATATACTGCTTAGTTATATTGTAATGAAGTTGAGCAGATGTAAACATTTTATTGGAAAACATCAAATTCTGCCTGTAATTTACATATTTTATTAGTAAAATATACTGAATTAGTAGTATATGCTTTATATATTATAGATAATCATGATGGAATTTAAGTTAAAATTCAAGGACTAATGCTAACCATTATGAAAAAAAATCACAGTATTTCAGTACCTGTATCATTTAAAAAAAACAGTGACTCTTAATGTTCATGTTAGATTGGTCTTCCCAATTTCTTGTTCTTTATATGTATTAAGGCTTCAACTGTATAAAAGGTTATACGTTGGGAAAACTATTACAGATAAGTGCTTAAGTCAACTAGTGCAGTTATTTTAGCTTTTGGGTTAAAACCTTGAAAAGCCAAGTTATTCTGTTCTTAATTATTACTTCATCATTCAGCTAATTTGATGTCTATCTCTGAAAAGACAGTTTCTACAGTATTGTTTGTCAGCCAGCTACAAATCCATCTGGTGGTGATGTTGTCTATTCCACATTTTTCTAGCTTACCAAGAAGTAGATTTGGTCTACTTTGTAAAATGCCTACTGAAATCTAAGTATACTATGTCCGTAGCATTTTGCTGGTCTACTAGTGACTTTATCAAAGAATGAAATTAGGTTGGTTTGGAATGATCTATTTTTAGCACGGTACAAACCCTGTGCTCCAGAATTTTTGAAAGATTTGGTACAATGGTCTGCAATAACATCTGCCAGTTCGTTCAGAACTCTGGGATGTAATCTTTCAGGTCCCAGTGATTTATATTCATCAAGGTCAGATAGGTATTCTCTTACCATTTTCTTGGTTTATTTTAATTTTTATTTCTAATTTGTCTTTTACAGTAGCTTTTTTGGTATGTTGGGCTATCATTTCTTTTTGCGTGAAGACTGAGGCAAAGAATGAGCTAAGCAGCTCTGCTTTCTTCTTATTGCCTGTTACTTCCTTGCCATCTTCTCTGTTTAGTGGACCAACTGTTTCCTTGACTTTTTTCTTTTTATTAATATATTGAAAGAATTTTTTATTATCTTTGACTTTTGTAGCAAGCCTTATTTCATTCTGAGCCTTTGCTTTCCTGACTTCATCTTTACATGTTCTTGTTATCTGCTGATAATCAGCTTTAGTTATGTGTCCCTCTTTCCATTTTCCATCCTTGTCCTTTTTGTCTTTCAGTTTATCAGATCTTTGTGCAGCCATGGTGGTTTCTTCTTGAATTTCTTGTTTTTCTGTTTCAGTGGTATTGTGCTGGATGAGCTTTTATGAAAACATTTTTCAGAGTTTCTCATGCTTCTTGAGTTGTTTTCCCTTTAGGATTTTCATCCATGGAATCTTTCCTAGGGTCTCTCTGAATTTGTTAAAATATATATTATAATACGCATGAGTGGAAAGTTAGGTATTTTCCAAGTCTTTGTGATTAAATCTGTCCAATTAGTATTGTGAATGGTTCAGAATTACATGGCTTGTTATCCAAAATATCTGCAGGCATTGCATGATTTCTCTGTTATGTTCTTTGTGTGTGTGTTAGTGTGTGTGTATAATGTTAGATTTAGAGTTGCCATTTTATGAGTAGGAACTTTCACTTTATCTCTTAATATTTTCACTTTTACTAGTTATAAGGATTTACAATACTTTGAATTGGGGTGAAGGAGGCTGTGGAGAGACTCAGAGAAAGGGAACATTGTGAGTAAAATTGAGTCTCAATTTTACCCAATTTTCATAATTAGTGTGTATGTACACACACACACACACACACCCTCTGTATGTATATATGCACACATATTAATTGGTGGTAAGATAAAATAAGCAATGAGAAGAAGAAACATGAGAACATTATCATATCTTATTCCTCACATTTTATATGGCCCAAACTTTATCATCTTCCCCTGAAACCCTGTTTAGTAGCTGCTTATGTAAGATTATAGAGCAAAAGTAAATAGTGCTTTCACTGAATTAAAAACACTCTGCTCTTATGTTTTCAGAAATATGGCAATAACTGGTATTATTCAAATTTACATAATTTCTATTTGTTTTCCACCCCTATTTTTTAAAAATTACAGGCAGAGGATTCTTGTAAATGTAATGGCTGGAAAAACCCTAACCCACCTCCTACTCCACCCAGGGTAGACTTGCAGCAATCTGTTGTGAGCCTTAGTGAACCATGTCGTAGTTGTAATCATGCACTAGGTAAGATTTTTTTTTTGTTTGATCTTTTTCAGAAATATTTTTGTGAATATTACTGCATACAGTAGGGTTTTCCAAACTCTGAGAGATGTACTTTCCTTGGCAAATGCAGATTGAGTCATGGGAAGATGTAAGTCAAGGGGAAATGTGAAGAATGTTTTAAATACAATGTTACAATAAAATCATTTTTCTAATTTCTTTCGTTATACAGATGATCCTCAACTTACAACCATAAATAAGCACTACATTTATGTTGCTAAGTGAAGATTTTGAATTTTGCCCCATTTTACTTTTACTTTTTACTTTTACATTTACTTTTCTTGACATACTTGTTAAGTGAATTACAGCAGTTGTTAACTTGTAATACGGTTATAAATTGAATCTAGTTTCCCATTGAGTTCACTTGTCAGAAGGTTGTAAACATGATCATACGACCTTGGGATACTGCAACCATCATATATATGAGCCAGTTGACAAGCATCCAAACTTTGACCGCATGATCATTGGGTTGCTGTAAAGGTTATAAGTATGAAAAAAATCACTTTTTTTAGTGACTTCGAACTTTCAGTAAATGAAAAGTTGTAAGTTGAGGATTATTTGTATTGTTTTCATTTTCGTTGGTGTTTATTTTGGTATTCAGATTTTTAGGGGAGGGATGTTAATTAAGATTACACTAAAAAGAAATATGAAGATAAAATTTGACGACTCCATGTCAAAGAATATATGGGGATATTTGGGTTTGTGTGTATGCATATAATGCCATTTTACTTATTTCTATAACTCTTAGTGGTATATCTAAAAATACGCTGCAGATGAAAATAGTGTAGCAAGGAAAGACTGAGTGAGTAGTAATTCTTTCCCTTCCCCAGCATGGTATCATTCAAATATATTATACTTCAACTTCCAGAATCTTCAGATACCATCACAAACATAAATCACAAAATCCAGATGATATTAAGAATGTATTTTATTTTGCTATTGCTGTTGCTATGCTATGCTATGCTATGCTATGCTATGCTATGCTATACCATACCATACCATACCATACCATACCATACCATACCATACCATATTATATTACAATAAAAATACAAGTGCGTATATAAGTACTATAGTTATATGTGTATTTTAATAAGATGAAAGTTGCATTAAAGCTATTTCAGATAAGTCATCGGTCCTGCCTCTAAGAGTGATAAAGCAAGATTATAACGGGAACCTATGTCATACTATCATTTGGCTTGCATACCTTGTCAAAAATAGATTGTGTAACTAGTATTCCATTATATATTGTGCTTTAATTAGCTAGTATCTGCAGCTTGTCACATTTGAAAGTGGATAGTGACATTTATTATAGAACAAGGCCACTGAAAAAATGGATTTTAATTATATTTGGTGTCAGGAGCCAGAAGAGTGTTCAAAAGTACTACAAGTTTGTTTCATGCTACATATACACAAGAATTTGAACCATTAACGATCAAGGTAAATTGGCACCAGATCAGAATAAACTGACTTCAAGGCGGGGCTAGACTTAGTTCTCTTACAGGATTGTAGTGATTCCAAACTGATAGTATGTTTGACCCTGCCCTTGGGCTCATCTTGATCATCTCCTATGTTTAGCTTTGCAAGGATAAAAAGACGATGATGCTTTTACAAGCAAAAATCTGAAAACTTCTGATTTAAAACAGATAGATAAATTACTGAAGATAGGAAATCATGATAGAAATTTAGATTTCAGAGTTTAAAGAATCTATTAAAATGACAGCTTAACTAATTTCCTAATTAGTATCCAGCTGTTGCCTGATTACAACTACCATTTATTAAGCTTTTAAATAGAAATATTATTTTTGTTAAATGATATTAATATTTTTTTTTTCAAAAAAATTGAATGAGTTGTTAATATACAGCACTTGAGCATTCTTAGAAAATCCTGGTAAAATTTAGTGGAGTTTTTCATTCCAAAATTTTCCTAGAGAAAATGGATCTTTGATTAGTATTTATGAAATAAAATTGTATCTGAGAAGGAAATCTGTAAGAAGGAATTTATTATATTTGTAAATTGTTAACCAAAACATTCTCCTAGTAGCAAACATGCCTGCATTATGAAATGTATAATATTAAACATATAGTAAAATATCAATCCCTAATATAATTTTTTTTTAAAATAATTATTTACTATAGTAATAGAATGGTGCTTGTTCCTACAAATAAATCTTTTATTAACTAAACAAGGAGAAAAGCTAAAAATGATTCTGATCATTATTGTAAACAGCCTGTTCTGGGGGAAAGAATGCATTAGTAATTTTCAGAGCTTGAACAGGCTTTACCAAATGTTTGTTCCAGGATGATATAAACAAGTTTGACTCTTGCTAGTTTAAGATTGGCATTGTGTTGTTAGGCTCCTCAAACCTATGATTTCTCCAAGCTGAATTGAAGCCTATACATAAAAAGAAGGCATCAGACTGTACTATATATTTTCAGTGGCTTGATCTTTTCCTTGAAAGCCTAAGATTTCCTTGTTTGTTTTAGCCGCTCATGTTTCCCATTTGGAGAATGTCTCAGAAGAAGAAATGAACAGGCTGTTGGGAATTGTGTTGGATGTTGAGTATCTCTTCACCTGTGTTCACAAAGAAGAAGATGCAGATACCAAGCAGGTTTATTTCTACTTATTCAAGGTAAATTGAATGTTTTTCTGTTTAGAAAATACATTTTCAGTTGCAACTGTGACCTCAAATGCACTCATCTAAGCCACACATACAACCACGTAGAAATGTTATAAAAATAAAAGTATGAAATTGTCACATTTCATTATCATTTTCCAACTCTTTTCAACAGCTTTTGAGGAAGTGTATATTACAGATGGGGAAACCTGTTGTGGAAGGATCTCTGGAAAGTCCCCCATTTGAGAAACCTAGTATTGAACAGGTAAAGTATACATGCAGGCATCTCTTAGTATGATATTACGTTTATCTAATAGTTCTTTAAAAATAGAAAAAGAGTCTATGGCAATACAAATTTTTTTTCCTTAGGTTGACCAGGAAAGGAAGCAGTCATCATAAAAATTCACATTAGGATAGCTTTGCCTTTTCTTACACCAATAGGCATTGTAAATCTATTGCATGTATTTTAGAATTCTACTTGCATTTTCATCTGTATGTTATAATGATTATCTTTAGTTTAAGTAGTACTCTTCTTAATGTATTCTTTTGTACATGTCTGCAGAGAGGCCTTTGTATTTTAGTTCAGTGCCCCTGGAAATTGGATGGAAAAAGCATCTTGTAAATTGGAAAATCCACCATTAGCAATACAAAAGAGGATGTTTAAAAGGAATCCAGTAGCTGATACAATTTGTATCACTACAAGAGCCTAGGTAGGTAGCTGATATTTTTAGAAACTAAGGTGCTGGTTCAGGAAGGTAACTCCTGTTATTAGCTGAGATTAATATATTAGCATTAGTTAAATGTTAAGCATTTAATAAGCTTATTGTACTGGAATGAGGTTTAAAATTATATAGGAATTTTGGTTGTTTTAAGCACCCATTAGAGAAGATTGATAATGTCATGAACAAATCTGGATTATGTCATATTATTTTGACCAAAGTTACTTTGGCAAATGCAGTTTGGATTTCATATATGAAACTGGAGCTGTATTTATTACAGCCAGGGAAGATTCACTAAGATGGTCTGATATGGAGAGTAGTGGAAGATACAGGTACAAAGAGCCATTTGAGTTACAATAATTACTTGAGATCGCAGTTCCCCTTCTCTTTTTGTACTTCTCTATACCTTCAAGTGAGAAGAAACATTGATGGGGGAAGGGAAGGCTTAAAACTTTGGATGCAATATTATAAACTACATTTACTTACAAACTTTAGCTCATGACTCCAGAATTATAGTTTTAAATACTTGGGTGTGTTTTATAAAATTGGGGACATATGGAGAGCACCTTTAGACGTGAAACTTGTCTTCAACTGAAGGACATCATGGTTTATTATACAGAATTTGCCCATCTGGTTATTGATCCTTAGTTTGCATACCAACATAAAATGTTAGTTATAATGAAGTTAATATCTCAGCATATATCGTGGACTAAGAGTGATATGCCATTGTGATCAGCCAAACTATATTATAAAGAGTGATATACAGGTAGTCCTCAACTTATGACCACAATTGGGACCAAATTGTATGTTGCTAGTTGAGACATTTGTTAAGTGAGTTTTGCTCTATTTTATGACTTTTCTTGCCACATTTGTTAAGTGAATCACTGCAGCTGTTAAATTAGTAACCTGGTTGTTAGGTGAATCTGGCTTCCCCATTGACTTTGCTTGTTAGAAGGTTTGCAGAAGGAGATCATGTGACCTTGAGGCAGTGCAACCGTCATAAATGTGAGTCAGTTGTCAAGCCTCTGAATGTAAATCATGTGACCATGAACAGTCATGAGTGTGAAAAATGGTCCGAAGTCACTTTTTCAGTGCCATTGTAATTTTGTATGGTCACTAAGTCAACTGATGTAAGTTGAGGACCACCTGTAGTCTCTTTCTCAAGAAACCAAAAGGAACATAATGTATTTACAACAACATTAGATATAAGCTATGAACCAGATAAAGTTGGTTGGTAAAGATGCCTTGAAATTTTCTATAGAAAATGTTTGTTAGAAATTATTTCTCCTTAGAGCCATAACATTTCTGAATTTTATACCAGGTTTTCACAACTCCTCTCCTTTCTATTTCTTCTTTAAGGGAGTTAATAATTTTGTGCAATACAAATTTAGTCACCTCCCATCAAAAGAGAGACAAACCATAGTAGAATTGGCTAAAATGTTTCTCAATCGCATCAATTACTGGCACTTGGAAACACCTTCCCAGTGGCGACTGAGGTCACCTAATGATGACATTGCTGGCTATAAAATAAACTACACAAGGTAACGTGTGTATGTGTATTAGGTTTTCATTGTATCTTGAAATAGTTCATAGTAGATAACAGGTGGCATGATATGATTCCTTCCCATATCATGTCTTGCAGAAGGTAAACATACTAGAATAAAAATGACTATGCTTTTAGATGGTGGCTTTGGAATGACCAAACTGTGCAATGTTAATGTTAATAATAGAACTCGTATATTCAGTTGTAGTCTAACTCTGACAAACAGCAATAGATAAATGACAGTGTTCATAGGATACTACTCCATTTCTGCCACCTAAAGATGTAAATTTTAGCGAAGCCAGAAAGTCAAGTGGCATATGCTTCATCCAGTGGCAGTTAGCAGTGATTTATTTCTCACATTTAAATAACTGCCCATCTCAATACATGACTTTGGGCGTCTCAGAAAAAGTTAAAAACAATATAAGAAAACAGAACAACAATTTTAAACAATATAAAACTACCATATTTTTCCTTGTATAAGATTATACTTTTTCTTAAAAATATTTACCTAAAAATGGAGGGGCATCTTATACACGGAGGTGGGGTGTGGGGTGGAGGGGGCTGAGAGGATGCGAAATTGCCTATAGCTTATCTCTGCAAACTAGCCTCACAAGCAAAACTTCCGATTGCTTAAAATATTGATTTCTGGATTTGGGGTAAGACAAGGGGGTGGCATTCCCTCCCCCCTTTTTTTTAGCTGAGGTGAACATATCCACAATTAATACTGCCCAACATAGGCTCTACCTTGGTTTTGGTTCTCCATGGGCTTTAGTTTGAAGTTTTCTCCATGAAAACTTTAGAATCAAGTTTTCAGTGCTGGCATAATTGGATTGGAACCACTCTGATCTCCAGCAGAACGATGTTCGACATGATACAAAAAATGAGGAGGGTCTGATGAGATCCAGACCTTGCTCCTTCTGCTGGACCTGTTGGAATATATAAATGTAGTTGGAAAGAGGTAGTCTCTCAGAAAATCCAATCCCATATCATGAAGAATTTTATAGATCACTAGTACCTTTGGACCAATGGAATAGAATTGTAACATCTGCTGATTGATGAGCACATATAACTGTTTGTGCAGTTTTGCCCCCTGCTGAAGTTCCTGAATACTCTTAAAAGTAGTGCTCCATATAAACATATTGCAGTCATCCATACTAGAAGTGACCAAGTCTTGAGTGACAGTGAGCAGGGCCTACCAGTCCAGGAAGGGGTACAACTGGCACACAATACATGGCTAAGCAAAAACTTTTCTGATTACAGCTGCCTTAGCTCCACAAGGACATCTAAACTGTGCACAAGTACCATCCCATCCAAAAGAAGAGATAGAAAGTCCCCAACATCCAAAGGCACCCAGTTTTGCTTGGGTTTAGCTGAAGCCTGTTGTTCTCCATCCATAACCCTACAGATCTCAGACATCGTGTCAGGACCTCCACAGTAGCACTTAATTTGAGATGTAAAGCTGGTTATCTGATGGTACTTCACCCTACTGATGGTACTTCATCCTGTGCCATTGGATAACCTCAACTAATGGCTTCATGTAGATGTTAAACAGGAGCAGACAAAGTACCAAATCCTGTGGCACCTCACAAAACAAGAGCCACTGACTGGGTCCAACTCTATAAGATAAGAAAACCGATGCTGCTCACTTATAAATCCTGGAGTTGATCCAGAAGTATACCATGGTCAATTATATCAAAGCCACCAAAAGATTCAGGAAGAATAAAGATAAATGTTTGGCCAATACTGTTTCAGTCCCAAAATGAGGCTTTTAAACCCTGACAAAGTGGTCTAGAATAGATAATGTTTCCTGTGAAATCCTCATAAGTTGCTGGGTAACCACCACATAAAATGGGTAGATTGGAAATTGTATGGAAATTGTCCAGAACTGTTGGATGGATTAATGAGAAGGGGCACATCACCAGCTCTTTAAAAGGATTTAACCCTCTCAAAGAATAATTTATAACTGACATCATCCAACCACACATAATCTCCCAGAAAAACTTAGCAAGCCAGGATGGGCATGGATTTAATATATAGGTGGCCAACCTTACAGTCATGAGTCCACTTCCACTGGTCCAACAGGTTTAAACTCCTTCTAGGTAATAGAGCAAGACTGTTTCCTATCATGTCTACTGGATTTGCACAGAAGTGTAAATCAGCAGATCTGAGCAATATTTTTGACAGATCACCAGCAAGTCCTATAGTACAGGGGTCCCCAACCGCCGGTCCGCGGACCGGTACTGGGCCGCGGAACAAGCCTTACCGGGCCGCTGGTTGCTGGGCGCCGCCATCTTTTTTTGGTAAAAAAGCGCTTCCGGTGAGCTTTTCCGGGTAGAAAGCTCACCGGAAGCGCTTTTTCGTCATAAAAAGATGGCGGCGCCCAGTTGACGCCGGTACTGGGCCGCGGCGCCCAGCTGATGCCGGAACCGGGCCGCGGCGTCGAAAAGGTTGGGGATCCCTGCTATAGTAGACTTCTGAGCCCATTCAACCAAGAGAGCTCAAAAGACTCCAAAACAAGGCTGCCAGGCAGCTATATACAGATGCAATAAGAGAAATACTGATACTTTACTGTCCTTACTGCCATGAGGTAGGCCTTAATAATGATTTTAACACATATTTAATCAAAATTCATTCCTCAATACCCTCCAAAAAATTCTAGGTTTGCCTTCATCTGTCTCCCTCAACTTTTTGGTAAATCAAGGAGAATGTCAGGATTCATAGTAGGAAAGAGGCCATAGGAATCAGATCCATGCCCCCCACATTCCAGGAGGCAACCAGGGTCTCAGTTGGATTATGCAACAAACTCTCAGGACCAATCTCAAGCTCTGAAACCCAAATGGCACCTTGGTTGGTTGGGCCAGCCACTGTGCCAGTGAACTCCATGGGATTCCACCAAGGACAGCAGGGAACAAGATAGATTTTCTCCATATCCAGATCATACTGTCACACTGACAGCAAAACCAGATTAGACCTATCACTCCTTTCACATGTTTTGTCCTGGATTACATGGGGTAGGCCCATGGTTATCATGGTATCCATGAATTCCCACGTGGTCTCTCACTCCAATTCCAGAAAAGACAGATTAAGTTTCCAGGATCATAAACCTGGGAAACTCCACTGCCAGCCCAGTTATGGAATCAAGAACCCAGGCAACCAGGTTGCTACATATCAAGGAGGCTAGTACAGAAGTAAGAGTCCTAAATGATTTCTAGAGGTCAATCTAAGGAACAGGTAAACTGGGGAAGCACTGTTAAAAGCCATCAAAGACTCTTGGATTATACTTAGCACTTTTTCCATTCCTGACCTAAGGTTTTGGCTGATTTCTGTACCTAAAACACAGCTGGGCAAAGCCACAAGATGGGCACCTGCCCTCTAAGCACAGCCCAATCCTCACAACACATTCTAGATGAACCCTCTCATCTGCAGTCAAATCACAGATGACTTTGCATTAAACAGCAGCAGTCAAAAGCCCAGGCATCTGAATGCCTGCTGACTGCAAAATAGGGTAGAGCACAAAGGGCCAGAAACCAGGCCCAGAATACCACCCCCCGCCATCTTCTACCATATCTCCCCTACTCATCATCAATGAAATGTTGTCACCCACCTCTACCCCCCCCACCCCACCCAAAGGCCTTTCCTCACTCATTCTGGATGGCTGGTCCCAAAAGTAAAATACATCCTCACACCATCACTCATATAAACACATGATCTTGGAGCACTTTAGCTCACACTTTCGGCTTTCCCATATTCCTAATGACCCCTCTTTCCAAAAACCATTTCCCATCAGGCACCCCCCAGCCAGATTCCTTTCACAATCCTGGCATGGAATCTAGTTTGTAATCTATTTACAATCTGGTTCATCCAGGACCATGATAGCGAACCTATGCCACGTGTGCTGGAAGTGACACACAAAGCCATCTCTCCGGGCATGCCAGCTGTCGTCCATTGCTCTTCTGCGTGCCAGCCAGTTGGTTTTCACATGTGTGGGAGTGCCGGAAACTGGAAGAGCAGCTCCCTAGAACACATGCGTGCCGCCGGCCAGCTGGTCTTCATGCACACACATTAGAAACTGGAACACCAGGTGGCCGGCATGCATGTTAGCACTGGGAAGCTAAGTTTCCAGTTTCGGCACTTCTGCACGTGCACGTCTTCTGGGTTCCAGCACGCACATCCGTGCTCCTGTTTCAGCACTGAGTGCTGAAAAGGTTAGCCACCATGGATCCTAGAAAATCTAGGCTGTACAATTCTGCTGAATATAGATGTGTTCTGTAGTTCTGTTAGTTACAATCTACAAAATAATTATATGATATAAAATGCTTGTTTAGAAATTTCAGTAATTCATTCTGTAAAGTAAACAGTTATTAAGTGAGTTTGATTGAAATACATTGCATAGTAATTTGGGTTAATTGAGTTTGTATTTTATTTTTTCCTTTGTAGGTGGTTGTGTTACTGCAATGTCCCCCAGTTTTGTGACAGTCTACCTCAATATGAAACCACACAAATTTTTGGGAGAACATTGCTGCGCTCTGTTTTTACCGTTATGAGACGGCAACTTCTTGAACATGCAAGACAGGAAAAAGACAAACTTCCTCTTGAGAAACGAACACTAATCCTAACACATTTTCCCAAGTAATTTTTAAACAGTTATCAACTTTCTGATTAGTTTGAAAACTACATATTCCTCTTTTAGAGGGTTACAAGGTTTGGGCTGCAAAATTCCAGATAACCACTGGATAAAGAAATTTTTTTTGATTATCATTTAGTGCAGTCCAGAGTTTTGCAGTCCGGATATGGTAGCTTTGCTCTTTCAGTGTGATCATGACCTGTTATTGTAATAGTCTCTCCTTACTGTAAAGCTGAAAGGAAATATACCATAATTATTTATCATGGAGAGCAATATCAAGAGAAACTGCAATTAACAAAGTGTACAATAATTCTGGAAGAATGGTTTCTGTTAAAGACTTCTGGAATCGTTCTGTAGTGATTTAACTCTTTGTTCCTGATAATTCTAAGCCATAATGTGGTTGCTTCATTTTGACTTAACATACTGTTTGAACTCTTGTGGATTATTCAGTAAGGGTTGGTTTACTATGATGTGTAAATTTTATCATAAAGTAAGATCCACAAATAGTTATATATTTTTACAAAAGGGTTTTAAAGCTCTTGCTTCCTATATTAGATTTGAAACACTGGAAATCTGTTTCTCTTGATATTGACAGAAGCTATCAGATGAACTCCATATCTGTAAATCAATACTGTGGATTCAGTGTTTCTAAATGCAAATTTTCATAATTGGGGGTGGCGGGGGAGAGAAGCTGTTCAGTTGACAAATGGACCATAAAAAGCAAGATCAAAGAAACACCATCATGATTTAAGGACACACACACACACACCCTTTGTACATTCATGTGAAGTTCCCTCCCACCCTATAGCATAACATAATGCCATTCAGTATCTGGATTATAGCTCTGCATTTGCCTAGGGTTTACTGTGATTCACTTCAGTGGTACTTGAATAAATATGTACAGAACAGCAGAGCATTTAGGAAGGTTTGTTGTTTTATCAGGTGAAAACTGCTCTAGATAAAAAGCTCAACATAAACCATCTAGGTTAAGATTATTCTTGCTGAAAATTTATGTCAGAATATTTTATATATAAATATATAAATGAATATAGCAGAAAAATTATCTTTTGTTGGGAATAATGTAGGTGCCTCTACTGGCCTACCTATATATGAAGAATGTTAGTCTTCCCAAAACTTCTATCAATCAGTAGATCAATTATAATTTCATCTGGATTCAAATAATGAAAAACAGTTTAAAAATCCTTAATGTGCCTAAAATATTTATATCCAATGATACAAATTGGTTTGGATTGGGATCCTGTATTTTTGCATTTCAACGAAATACTTCCTAATTGCAAAATTTAGTTTTTGAAAATGTCATTCAGAATGTGACTATTTCCATAATGTAGCATTCTATTCACAAAGCATCTTAAAAGCCACCAAGCAAACTCTGGAAAAATTGTAATTTCCATAAGTCAAAGGCTTCAAATAATAAAAATGTGTAAATATTAATATAGATTTTAGGGAAAAAAAATAGCACAAAATGGTTTATTTAGGTTTGCTGCCCTGCTCTTAAAATTAACAGGGAAGCAAGTTTTGGACACAATATAAGTACTAGATCTGGGCTGCAAAAAAACCAGACAACAAAGAGATACAGAAAATTTATGTAATAACAACCCCCCCCCCACCTCCAGACTAAACGTCAGGTTGACTGTGACAAATCATAACAATAATTTATTAAATTTACATGTCGCCTAACTCTTAGCAGCATGAGCAGTTGCAATATTATGATGAGGTTTAAGCATGTATATTGTTTTCTGATGAGTATGTTGAAAAATGAACATGCAAGCATGGAACAGTCAGATAATTAGCCACCTGTTGTGGAAGAAAGCAGCAGGTTAAGTCACCTGACCTAGAAACTGAAGGCTGGTCATTAGATTTACCCGGTTCTACAAGCAGTTTGTCAGTGAAATAGTAATATGTCCAGGAAGAATCACTATTGAGGATTGTGGTGTGATTGTGATGTGATGTGTCTACTTCTCCCTACTGCTTTAGTTTCTTGGATGATTGCTTTCTTGTTCTGAATGCTTGGAATGTACCACCTTGAAATTAATCCTGAGAAAGAACAGTGGCCAATTAAGCTACTACCTGATTCAACTTCTTTTTCTTACATATACGTAGATAGTGGTGGTCATTCCATGTATCTATAGGATTTTAGAAAGTATCTCAAATATCAAAAGCCATCTTAATTATTAATTTCTTACAACACATGGAACAGTTTTATTTTTTTAAAATAATAGGCACAATAATATAAGCTATGATTGCAATTTGCAGCAGATGCCTCCCATTTGTCATCTAAAGCATTTGTTTCCGCGAGAAACAATCAGATATTGCAGGATAGGCTCAATAGAAAAAAGTTTCTTTAGCTTTTCAAAAGCTTTCTGAGCCAGTGTATCCCAAATAAATACTGTAATGTTTCCTTATGCAGTAGATTAAAGGGCTCTGAACTTAGCAAAACTTGGAACGAAGGAAGAATAATAGTTTACAAAACCCATTAGCCTCTGAACGCTCTTGACTTTCTGGGGCAGTTGCCAGGTTTAATAACTTGTATTTTGTTAGGCTCCATCTGTATCTGTGTTGGTGACATGCAGTATCCCCCAAAATCTGATGTGCTTCAAATTCACATTTTTATGATGTAACACAGGAGTGATGTACTTGGAGATGCTATAAGACTACTCATACAATATGAGTTTCATATTGTTTAGAAAAAGATAAATGGATTAGAATGTTATCAAGACAATGTTTAATAGTCCTGGCAAATATAATTCTTCAGATGTTGGAAGACAACAGGCACACAGCATTGCCTAGCCCAGGGATTGCCAACCTTTTAGACCTAAGGGACCACCAAATGCATACTTTTAAATCCACAGAATCACTAATATGAATTTTTTAAAAAAAGATATTTAATATATATTTTTATTTTTTATATTAAATATAAATGTACTATTTAAAAAAATAATTTTAATATATAAATATAGATATTTAAATATAAAAAGGCTTATTTAATTATATATATATACATATACATCATATACATATACATCATATACATATACATACATTACATACATTACATACATACATACATTACATACATACATACATACATACATACATACATACATACATACATACATACATACATACA